ACTTGTTACGACCAAATTAAGGAAAATCATATAGTTTCTTAAATGATAATAGAAAATACTGAAAATAACAAAATTCACAAGAAACAACATTATTATTAATGATCTTCAATATCCTCACATACAATTAAGGTATCTATACAAACGGGCTTCTCGCTCGACTTTTCAGCAAGATAACTGGCTAAGGCTTAATAATACCCGTCAAAACTAACAATTTATGTTGTGAGAATGTGAAGGAAAAAAACAAAAGAAAGAACAAATATTGATCTTCCTTTCGATTTACGATTCAAGTCAATCTTCTGAGACTAAGGATAAAGTATCCGTGTCAGAGGATATCAAGCTCGTTCTACTTTGTATCGCCATTAGAATGCAAGGACCCATCTTGCATCAGCTTGTGACTAAGATTGTTAAAACGATCCCTCGAGTATTGCCTCGAAGCTTTTCTCCAATCTGTTCCCGTTTTCATCATTGTTGCAAACTCTTCATAACTTATCCTTCCATCCTGTAGAAATGTGGGTTCAAGAACATTCAAATTTCTGTGTCTTTTTACACTAGAACACTTTGTTTCAAGAACATTCAAATTTCGAAGTCTTTTCTTACACTACGAGTCTCAGAGATCGGGTCTAACCTTATTGGTATCGACATCAAAGATAATGGCTTTGACAACTTCTTCACTAGTAGTTTCAATCTCATCTGCCAAAGCATCTCTTAACTCCTCTATTTCGATATAGCCACTCTTGTTTTGGTCAAAAAACGTAAAGGCTTTCTTTAAGTGGTAGTCGTTTCCTATCTTCCTGATGTGTACCGATATGGCTACAAACTCATTCACGTCTAAATATCCATCTTTATCAATATCTCCCTGTTATAACAAAACCCGCCAATTCAGCTCATTGCGTTTTGAAAAAACTTTGAATCAGCATTGCAAGTACTAATTTCTTACCGCGTCCATCAAAATTTGAATGTCATCTTGGGGAACAATGATCCCGAGTTTCGTCAATCCGATCTTTAGCTCGTCCATGGTGATCTTTCCTCTGTTGCTTGTGTCCATTACTTGGAATCTTTCCATTATGCCGGATGCTTCTTCAACCGATAGATGCTCAGCGATAACCTATGTAAGGTAACTATGTTAAGCACTCTCAACAGATTACAAAATTTCTAATGTGCATGTCTTCAAGAGAACATACCCTGAGTGCCCTTTTCTTGAGCTTGTTCATAACAGTGAATTGCTTGAGCCTTGCTCTTACGGTTTCACCAAGTGATACATTGGGAGCATTCTTACCATTCAGTATCCACGGATGATCTGTAAACCCAAAGATGGTTTGAGTCTTAACATAGATTCGGTCCAAAACAACAATTGCATTTTGGAATTGAGATGATACCAAGCACTTGTTGAGCTGTAAGACGACGCCTCGGGTCAGGATGAAGCATCTTCTTGATCAGATCTTTTGCATTTGCAGAAACTTTGGGCCAAGGGTCTCTTCTGAAATCAACCACAGATTTAAGAATTGCTTTTGCTACTCCATGTTCGGTTTCTGCAAAACAAAGGCATCATTACTCTCTGTATGACTCTACAAAGACTGACACAAAGCAAATGATTTGAGAAAACCAAACCTGCCCAAAAAGGTGGAACACCACAAAGCAATATGTAGAGAATTACGCCTGCGCTCCAAATGTCAATCTCTGGCCCATAACTACGCCTTAACACCTCGGGAGCCATGTAGTAAGGACTCCCAACGATTTCGTTAAATCTCTCCCCTGCAAAACAAAAACACTTGCGTGTCAAACACGGCTTCCAAAAACAGAGCAGCTTGGTCCAAAAGCATCCAAGATGATGATACAATACATTACCTGGTCTAAAGAAAACAGAGAGACCGAAATCAATGGCTTTCAAAGATGCATTTTCCTTTTTGTTTGCAAACAAGAAGTTCTCAGGTTTTAGGTCTCTGTGCATTACTCCATGCTTATGGCACATCTGAAACGCACATGGAAACAAACACATCACTTTCTTGATAAGCTCCAAGAATTGCATTTTGAGTCAAGAAATGTCCAAAAACACAAGAAAAAACCTCACGAACCTGAACAATCTCCATGATAGTCTTAAGAACACCAGCTGCAGCTCTCTCGGTGTAATGCCCTCTGGCCACAATCCTATCGAAAAGCTCGCCGCCTTCACAGAGCTCCATGACCAAATGCACAGCTTTATCGTCCTCGTAAGTCTCTTTCAACGTGACGATGTTTGGATGCTCAGGCAAATGCTTCATGATCTCCACTTCCCTCTTGACGTCGTCTATATCCACCGTCGTCCTCAGCTTCTTCTTTAAGATGGATTTGCAGGCGAAAACCTCTCCGGTCTCGTTGTCTGTACACAGATACGTGACACCGAACTCTCCCCGGCCCAACTCGCGGCCCAGTTTGTATCTCAGCTTGATCTCTCGGCCCGTTGGTTCCTTGAGGACAATAAGCTTATCGCCGTCGTGGCGGTGGCCGTAATCGATCGAGAAAGGATTTGCGATTCTAAACCCTTTCTTGTTCTTATCGTTAATCAATGATCCTGCCGTTCCACAGCAATTCCCCATTATAATATAAATGCGATCAATTTATTGAAGAAGTATAAAAAATTCCGAAAATCGCGCAAGATTGAACAAGAGATCAAAGGATCGTCGACTTGGAATCAAATGAACGTAAGACAATCATATCAAAATGTTGTTGTTTCTTCTCAAATTTTACAAAAAGCTTAAATTTTGAAAAGGATTTGGAGGCGGAAATTACAGAGGAGATATGGAAGGAAGGTTTGAAAAAAAAAAACAGAAAATATATAATCCTTCCTTCCCTAATCTCTCTGTATTTTCTTGTTATCCTGATTTCTGTTTTTAAATTTTTCTTTCAGATATGTCTTTACTCAAATAATTTATTTTTAGGACTTTTTTTTCACCCGTAATGTCCAAGCAAATTTGAAAAGAAAAAAACGATTTTAGATAGGATCAGGATTAGGAGTGTCACAATCGACATTAACTAATCCAGTTATATCCTAACCGAACTTGAATAACCGACCAAAAGCAAATTAAAATCTGGATTAAATCTGTAGTATGACAATGTTGTATACAAGGTACATCATGTTTCCGATTGTTTCTTTTGTCAAAAATTAAAAAGTGCAATTTGCAATTGGTATGGTAATAAAGTCGAGAAAAATATCAAAATAGTGGTCTGAATTCAAACATTCCGATTCAATAATATACAGTCCGATTTAACAATATACAGAGCTAACAACAAATAACAAAGAATAAACACTTAACTACAAGAGGTCATACGTGTGAGGCTGATCACTTGCCATTTGGTCATTTCATATTAGTTTCCCTGTAGTGAGAGCTTCTAGATCGAATTTCTTATTTTTAAAGTCCAACATCAGTGTGATAGTAATTCCCTTCGATAGTCAATGCTACAATGTTTGTTGAGATAGAAGTTAGTAATAACCACGAAATGAATTATTCTAACGTTATATAAATGCTCTTAACTTGCAGTGACATTTACCGTCATTAGCTATTTCCGTCCATAGATGAATTAACAAAAAAAAAGGAAATGGAGATGACTGTTAATTAGGGTGTATATAAATCAGAAGAAGGAGAAAAACAAAACACATCTTTTTCTTCATCATGCATTTAATTTGCCTTTAGACACTTCTTTGCTACTGCCGCCATTTTTGTTTTCAGTTTTGGCTAACAATTAGGTTTTACAGAAATTTTAAAAAAGGATAGGCGAGATTAAATGGATGGAACTCACGATTTTTCCCTTTCTTAAGGAGAAAAGGAAAAATAATGCGTAAAAGGTATCGGGGACATGTATCTTGGTAAATAAAAAAAATATTGCCAACCACGAGGATGTGAACATCGTTTATCATTAATTTGTTTAAGGAACATAAATTTAACTTTTAAACAAGGCTTATGTTAATGTTCATTAATAGTTTACCCTTAATAGAAAGTAATAAAATCAAAGTAATGTACGGTAATCCGTCTAAAAATACAAGTAGTTGGTTTATTTAAAACCCTAATTTACGACTTTTTCAATAAACGAAAGACCTTACCAAACAAAAAAATCATACTTTATTTCCTTGGAATGTACGTAATGCCATTCTTAAAGTCTTTTTAGATCGATTTCAACTATAATCACATGTTACATTGTAATATTATATCACAGACCATTTGAATAAACCGCGTGATTACATCAACAAGCGCGTATATTAAATTAGCACACGGTCATTAAATAATCAGGAGAAATACTGCACTGAAAAAACAAGCTTTAGAATCGCTGATCAGTATTTCTATTTTAATAACTTAGTCAATTCAATATTTAGTCATATAATTTTATAGATAGGCATCAACTGCCAGAAAAACACTACCGAGTACCGACAAACCGAAAACCGAGGAAGATAACAAGAAGGCAAGAATAACCTAAGTTCTCTTTACCAAAGAAAAAAAATTTGGCTAATTTTCCTTGATAATTTTTTTTTACTTGACGAACGTAAAAACAATGCCAATAAATGGAGCGCAAAAGAAAGAATTTACTTATCTTTAATTTTACTAGGTATACTTCTTGAAACCAGTAATTACCAAAACTAAAACCCTAAATTTGATCGTTCCAACATAGAGCACATCTTATTATAAAAAATAAACGCATCCAACGTAAACGTGATATAACTCAAGAGATTCTAACATATATTATTATTAATTTAGATTATGATATATATCAATGTAATAATATAAAAATTTTAATTTTAATTATTTATTTTAAAAATAAATTATGTATTTTTCAATTCAAATTACTAAATGAAAAAGTAAAATAAATGAAAAAAATACCTTATAATAAAGAGGATTTTTTAGAACATTATATTTTATTTAAAAATTGTTTATCAGATTTAGATATATCAATTAATGTCTAATTTCATAATTTTGAATCATAAAATAGAAATTGTAAATAACTTAATAGGATCTTAATTTACAATATAATTATATGTCATAACTATATGGATAAACAATTTTAAAAATTAAATATATATTTTTTTTATTTTTCTGCATATTATGCTGAAAAATATATATATATTTTTTTCTCAAATTACATAGAATCTAATGTGAACATTTATTTGTGTAGTCTAAAATACTAAGAAGTAAGAATCCATAAGAAGTGCCAACTATAGATTTTTTAACAACCGAGTACAATTATAGAATACTGAGAAGTAAGAACCCATAAGAAAGACTAGCAAAATAAGTTTCGGGGAACGCTCTTTTTATTTATTATCTCAACACAACTATGAACTCTAATATTAATATATATATATATATATATATATATATATATATAAATCTTTGTATTTCTTCTTTTTACTGTAACTGAGACGTTTTATTTCATGTCATTTTTTAATTATAAATTTCTCGCGGTGCTTTTTAATTTTGAAAAAAAAAATTCAAAAACCATGGAAAATTAACTAATCGGACCTCAAAATATTCAACTTCATTCATGCTTTTGGAGAAGAAAAAAATACGATAGGACATACAATATCTATATTCATCTTACCTAATGAGCATAAAACTATTATTATTTAAGTTGCTGCCACTAGCTAGCTAGGTCAATCTTTTTTAGGGATTCTATTGAGGAGTAATAGTTTTTCCAAGATCAATTATATTTTATACGTGGTTACATATGAAACTTCAAATGCATAAATAGATGATTAGGGAAACGTTCTTAATAGAACAAAGCCTCTTGTAGTAAGAGATCTCCACTACTATCTTAAAAGCAAAACTTCATGTCACGTCCCAACGAAAAAAAAAATCATACATACCAGATTTACTTTTTGGCGTTGAACATGAGTTATACATTCACAATTGTTCTATTTTCCATTACGCTGGTCCTGGCTCTCGCTATACGTTTTTTACGATCCAAGAAACCAAAAGTTCAGGTTCCTCCGGGCCCAAAGGGATGGCCAATCATTGGGAACTTGTTGGACATGATCATGAACCGGCCAACTCACCTGTGGATCCACCGCGTCATGGAAGACATGCAAACGGAGATAGCTTGCTTTCGCTTTGCCAACGTCCACGTAATCACCGTAACATCAAGCAAGATTGCCCGAGAAGTGCTTAGGGACAAAGACGAGGCTCTCGCAGACAGAGCTGACTCATACTCGAGCAATCTCATAAGCCATGGCTACAAAGACATTAATTTCTCTCCCTACGGAGAGAAATGGAAGCTGATGAAGAAGGTGATGGCCACCAAACTAATGTCTCCGACAACACTGAACAAGACCCTTGGTGATAGAACCTTAGAAGCAGATAATATCGTCACGTATGTCTTCAATCTATGCGGACTAGGATCAAAGATGAAGCCCATTAACGTGAGGGATGTCGCCTTAACTTATTGCCACGCCGTTATGATGAGGATGATGTTCGGCCAGAGGCATTTTGATGAACCGACCGAGGACGGTGGTCTCGGGCCGAAAGAGAGAGAGCATTTGGACGCAATATACAGATCTCTTGATTGCTTTTTCAGCTTTAAGGTAACAAATTACATCCCTTTTCTTAGAGGATGGAACATCGATGCAGAGGAGGCGGAGGTAAGAGAAACGGTTGATTTTATCAACCGGTGCAACGACCCTATCATCCACGAGAGAATGCAGTTGTGGAGGAATGAAGGTGGAAAGGAGACGGAAGAAGATTGGCTCGACACTCTTGTCGCGCTAAAAGATGACCAAGGAATGCCTTTATTTACTTATGATGAGATTAGAGCTCAATGCAAGGTTAGTGTGATGTTCACTCTTCGAGTTATTAAAAATAAAGTAAGGGTTTAATTTATCTCTTATATATGCATATATTCTGCTATATGTAGGATATAAATGTTGGAATAATCGACAATACGATGAATAACGTGGAGTGGACGATAGCGGAGATGTTGAATCATCCTGAGATTCTTGAGAAAGCCACAAATGAACTGGACATGGTAGTTGGTAAAGACAGACTTGTCCAAGAATCAGACATTCCACAACTGAATTACATCAAAGCTTGTATCAGAGAATCTTTCCGGCTTCACCCAGCTAATGCGTTCCTGCCTCCTCATGGAGCCCGAGAAGATACTACTCTCGCTGGTTATTTCGTCCCTAAAGGTACAATTCATTCTTTTATATATTCAATAGGGGGTCTTGTAACTCTTGTCTACGTTGATGGGTTCAGGAGCGGTTTTAGAGTCGTACAAAAAAGAACATATATTACCATTTCTCAACTAATATATAGATATATTGAACAAAATGTTACCAACAAATTATATATATAAAGACCTCCGATCTTAAGATATAAGGTGTGTCACACAATCTATTATAAATTATACAACTAGTGAATTATATATTAAAAAAAAAAATCTCCGGTCTTAAGATATAGAATTCCCAGACTATTAAGGTTGTATATATTTCATTATAAGTGAATTATTAAGCTAATACAAAAATCAATCTAATGTGTAACATTTGGTAATTTGTTTTCTGATATATTAGGTAGTCACATTCTTGTGAGCCGTCTAGGACTTGGTCGGAACCCTACGATTTGGGACGAACCTGACGCGTTCAAACCAGAGCGACATCTTGATGACTATACTAAGGACTCAATGGGTGTGACTCTGATGGAGCCGGAAATGCGGTTCGTAATATTCAGCACTGGCCGGCGTGGCTGCCCTGGTCCTAAGATTGGAGCATCTATGACCATCATGTTGTTAGCCAGGCTTCTCCAAGGGTTCAAATGGTCTCCACCTAATGGTGCAAGTCAAGTCGAACTCATCGCGGCTGATAGCAACTTGTTCATGGCCAAGCCTCTACTCGCATCTGCGAAACCTAGATTGGTTCCTGGCTTATATCCCAAAATCCAGATCTAACTACGATTACGAGAGATGATTTTGGCTGGAGAATAATCAGAATATATATAAAGTAAACAAAGGTTTATGTTCCCACCAAATTATCCGAACCCATATATCAAACTATCACACTGTATTTATTGTATAATATTCTTTTAGTCCAGCTGCATTAATATATAAAGACTTATTGCTAAGTCAATGTAGCACCGGAACTATATAACCGTAATGCTGTTTTTTGTTTATAACGGGTATGATATATTTCATTAATCAAAGAATATATTACTACTATCTTAATCTTCCACAATACATTCCAATCAAAAATGAAATTTCTCTACTGTCGGAAAAAGTACGATTACGCAATTTTCACTGATGTGTGTTTTCAATGTTTTGATATATTTAAATTATCATTCTCTAGTATAAGCATCTTTAGGAGTGTATTTGGGTGTATTGTGTTTTCTTTCATGTTTTCACAAGTTTTATATGAAAAGAGAAGCGATTTGGATGCAACCAAGCTAGCGAATATAGATCAATCGTACAATAACATCGGAGAATCTTGCATCATAAAGAAGATTTTTCATATTGGATCAAGCTATATTAATCTCTTTTTTTCCCCTGTTTATGGACGGGGATCGCACATATTGCTGTTTTGTATCGAAGGTGTAAAAAATAAAATTGAAGGTATAAAATAACAACAGCAGTATTTCAACGATCTGTGTATATAAGTCCTAAAAAATGTCCCATTTTTCCGCAAATAACAAAAATATATGCAAGAATGAGAATACTTAAAATTATGTTTGATCAACAAACTAAAAATTAGGAAAAGGAGAAGAAAGAACGTTTGGCAGGAGGACGACCAACGGCTCGCAAGAGATTAGCAACTTCATTAACTTTTGCAACCTCAGTCCCTCTCTTTGCCTCGGCCGTTGCTCTCCTCTCCTCCGCTTTCCTCTTTGACTTCGCCACTTTGTTCTGCGTCTTCTCCATTGCTTTCGCTTTTCTCTCCTCTACCTTCCTCTGCATCCATCCATTTTCAATTCATAACCAAAAGCTTCAATATATATTAACGTAGTACGCACGATTTTAGTTTGTATTACGATTTTAATGTGATGAATCGATATAACCTGTAACTATGATAAATTGAAAATGACGGTCGTGAATACTAAAAAATTTGCAAATGTACAAGAAACCAACCTTAACAGCTAAAATGTCCCTACTTTACCTAATCGAACCGAAGCTAAATGGTATACTGTCCACTTGGACCGGCTCCAACCATCTCCCATTTTAATATTTTGAATATATATATATATATTAATCAGTTTAAAATCAAATGATGAATTCTCTATATTAACCATAGATATATGGCGTATATATGTTTCTAATCATCGTACCTAGGATGGGAGAGTTTAAATTTTAGCTGATTAAATTTATAAACTCACCTCGATCTTTCTCATCCAGGAATTGGCCTTATCGACTTGCTCGTTAACCCAACCGTTAATAACGGCGTCTTCTCTCTTAAACTTGTTATTGATCTTAGCTAGTTTTGCCGTCTGCCACGCCGTTATCTTCGCTTCCACCTCTTCTCTCTTCACCCTTTGCACCGACGACGTCCCAACCCGACCCTGAACCTGACCCGACCCATCTCTAGTTCCCTGATCCAGACCCGAACCCGTATACTGATCCGGCACGATAGCCAACGGGTTCGTCTCCTCTTCTTCGTCCCTCTCCTCGTGGATCCTCGTCAAGTCGTCACGTTGCGTGGCGTCACTAGTCGTTGGACGTTCGTTGTTGTTTCCCATGGAGGAGCCGGCGATGACTAGAGCGTTGAACTCTCTGCTTATGGTTGTAAAGTTTTCCCCGGAAGAAGCTCCTTCGCTCATGTTCGTCGTCGCTGATCTCGTCGGAGAAAAATAGCCTCGCATGGCAGGCGGTGGTGGCAACACCGGAGCAAGCGCGTGGATATCTCTCACGGCGGTCTCCGGCGTCTCATCCCGATTATTGTTACTTGTGCTACTGGTACCCTCCGGCGAGCTTTCTTGACCGTAGAGAGTCAACATCACTTGAGAATTAGGGTTTACAAATTTCGGATCAGATTCTGATCATCTACAATATTTTGGTATTGATAAGCTTCGGTAATATTGTCAAAGGTTTTAGCTTTGCTTTTTTTTTTTTTTTTTTATTTTAAGATTAGCGGAAAATGAAAACTACACGACAAAGAAAAAATATTAAAATGTCGAATTTTCAAGAAGGTTATCAATCTAAAAATATGACAAAGGACCTCTTCATGAAAACAACGTTGGTCCAGTAAATAGCGACTGCATTTATCCTTCGGAGACGTGCTTGTTTATCATGAGTTGCAAGAAAAAGACAATAATAAACCGTTCGTCTTTAATTCTTTTTCTTCACATTTTTTTTCATCTAATGCGATGTAGTAATAATCTCCTAAAAGGACAAATAAAATGACATAATGATACTATGAGAGGCTTCCGAAGGGATAAGAGTTGAAAAAATAAACCGGAAGAAACCCAACGAATAAAATCGAAACCGGACCTACATAAACGAATGGTTTTATTAATTAGGGAACCAAAAAAACTTAAACCGAATTCGGACCGAAACCGATTTGACTGTATCCAAATTAAACTGAACTTCTTCTTAGGTATTACATAGTTATGTATATTTGAGAATACGTATCTTTTTTTGGAGAAATCATCGAGTTTTCTTTTAGGGAATTTGAGAATACATTATACTAAAATCATAAGGTAGGGGGAAATATTGTAAGAGCGAGTGTCGGCAAGTATGGACCCCACCACAAAAGATAGGATAATACACGTGTCAATTACAAAAGATTGGGGTCAACGTGGCTATGTCTGATTTGTTAAATGTTCCCGCCAAACGAAGCCAAGTATGTCAGCATCAATCTAGTGGCTTGGAGATACCAATAGTGCATGGCCACGTAATCAGATATCACTTCCGTCTTTTTGGTCGAGTCACTTCCGTTTAAATTCGTCTTTTTCCGATCGTATTGGTATTTTGGTAGTGAATTATCAGTTTGTTATATATTTACCTGCTATGTGATTTCATTAGACTAAAACCACTTCAAAAAGTTCAAGACTACGACTACATTTATCTGGTATGATTTTGAACGGTCTAGTTACGCCGGTTACCTTGTAAAATGTAAACCTGAAATGTTTTTTAAGGTAAATTTTGGTTTTCAAAACGTTGCACAATGAGCATTTCTTGTATTCTGCAAATTTGACGCTTCCATGGTTTCCAAAATGTTTTCTTTCCCTGATTTTTAACGTTTCTTAATTCTTAATTCTATTGTGTCCACAACTTTCAAAATACTTTTAGCTTAAATGCTTCATGGTAACAACATTCAGAACACTACTTAAATACATATATATATATATATGTATAAGAATACATATATATATATATGTATAAGAATACATATTTTTTTATGGAGTTATCATCAGGCATAATGGTAATATCCTGAAACATAAGCTTATTAATGGACTACTATTACTTTGTTATGCAAAGTTATTGGGCATATCCGACATTAAACTAGATTCAACCCCTATGGCCCAATACCTCTTTCCATTTTTCTTCTGCCATCCAACTTCGCCATCTCTTTTTTTTTTTTTTTTATGTTGGTTGCCAAATTTCTATATCTATATATGATTTCATACAAACAAACAACCCCCAAAATATGTTTATGGATAAATGGGGCCATTTGATATCAAACAAAAAATGGAGCATATATTTATAGCTCGATGAATTGACATCACCAATCAAATATTGTAAATAACTAAAATGACCGGATTATCTTTTGTGAGTTGCGATGTATTTTGTCGGAAGAACAGTGCACCGTTTGGTAAATTCAAATGAATGTAGCCGATGCTTAATCCTATGCTTTGTGTTATTTATCATGGAATACGCTCGGTTTTGCTTAAAACCGATTGAAAATGGTTGAGACCCAAGAGGGTTGGCCGGCTATACGGAATCAGATACATTTTTTCGTTTTTGCAATCGAGTTTTAATTTATTTTTATCCTTTAATCGAATTCACAATGTTTAAGATATTTATCTTACAAAGGGGCACAAACACGATAATTTTTTTTTTAGTTTCATGTAAGCTACCTGATTTTGGAGTGGCTCTCCCATAAGACGAGCTTATTCGCATCAGTTAATCAATACAATTTATGGAAATTTTCGCTGTGAACAAAAAAGTGGCTATACTGAATAATTTCGTGCGGCTCATGGCCACCTTTTCTATTGACCATTTATGACCGTTCGCTTATTCTATCACCTAACTAAAAGGCCAATTTTAAATTTTCTACAACATAAATAACAAAATACAACTACCTCTACTGTCTACTTAAATAGACATTTATTAGAAAAAAAGAATATATAATAACATCCGAAGTCTATGTACATCATGCTCACATATTCACACGCCTCAACCTATGGTTAGGACTTATGTCCTTTGTACTAAATTACGTGTCTTCTGAAGTTTCATATATACACGTAATCATATGTAACCATCGGTGCATCATGCATGTGTATACGTGTGGTGATTTAATGTTACCACCCTTTTAAGTCTTAACTCTTTCATTCAAATTTCTTGGCTCTTTTTCTAGCTAGTGCTTTAATAATTTCCTCCCATATTTAAGCTCCACCCTCTCTTCTTGACAATAACTAGTGTTGGAATCTTGTATATGACAAGATTAGAATTTGAGATCAAATTTTTCATCTAAGAAGGTGAGTAGACGGAGCATGTGGGATGCACACTTTATTTTCTTTGTTTACTTAATTTGAAGCTTTCTTCACTCTTTTTTTTTCAATATACTATATTTTCCATTGTGATCCCAAAATGTTTAAATAGTAGAATGGAAAATCATTTTTTATGGGAGAACTTTAGGAGTCACGTATATTTGTCCAATCAAAACGGTTTGAACCCACGGACAAAGTCCAACCCGCTTTGTCATCGGGATTGATATTGAATTTCTTTCTAAGGTCGATTATCTTCTTAATCTAAAATGAGAAATTTTTTTGCTGAAACTAAAATTTAAAAAGTCTAAGAATGAGAAAGAGAAATACTTGTGAGTCGGTAGCATACTAGTTGAGTAAATCTGATTTAGATAAGAACATCGTTCGGCTATACATAATGTTATTATATGTAAGATTAGAAAGGTGAAACACTTGACCGACACTCTTAATAGTCCAATCTTCCAAGAAATGCATAATCCTCAAAATTAATTCTCATATGTTTCAGTCTCTTCTTCTTTTTAGCAAACAGTCATCCCAAAAAATAGACATCTGACACTATCTGAAGTTATAGTTAACTAGACTATAGATATTGTATTTGCATAAAAGTTACAAAATCAAGAGAAAGAAAGTGAATTTCCTTGAACTGAGCGCCATCAAAATCCAATTTTATTTCAACCTTACACACTCATCGCAAATTGAATTAATCACAATCTAAACCACATTTTAAAAACTAGGAATATTATGACAAGTATAAATGCGAAATAAAATCAAATAAATAAATAAATAAATATCAAAAAAAAAATCAAATAAAGAAATAAGCCCAGTAACAAAAAAAAAATCATAAAAATACAAATTTAAGAGCCACCTCTTGACTATGAGTCTCTCTCTCTCTTTCCTCGACCTTATTTTAATAACAAAGAAGCGCCTCCGAGAGACAGCTTATTGCATAGACCGTGACTTGATCATCTCCAAGTTGTCTTGAAAATCCTTTTATGATCCACAGACATATATACAGAAGAGTTAGACATCGAGAGAAACCGAATTTCGTTGTTGCAATACAGGACTCGAAGCTTGTTCCTCAAATTTCTCCTGTAAAACCATATATACATATTGTGGCCTGCAATTCTAAAAAGCCTTCGTCTTTCTCCTGTTACTCGAGGTACGAACATGGGTTTTTGTTTGATTTGACTTATTCCATTGATACCTTTTTGTTTATCGATACGTGTGCTACGTTACGTTACGGTTTATGTGTTTATTTTCACGAAAATTGCATTTGGGTTTTGAGTCTTTTGACAAAAGTTTTCATTTTTTTTCTCATGGGAAACGAATTCCTGGAATTCTTGTTGAAATTAGATATAGATTTTTTATTGTTTTTTTATGGATCCCTTATATATGATTGTGGTGTCATTGCTCAGGCTGTGTTGTTGTTCTTCTTCTTGGAGGCATAGATTTTCTCTATGGTGAGCCTCTTTGGCTATTCACTTCCATTGCGAGAACTCCAGTTCCTCAAGGATGTTTGCTAATAATCAAATTCTGATTCTTAGTTTAATAATCACATTTTGATAGTTTTTGATTGTTGTTGTTAGGGAGAAGCTCCAGCTTTTCTGGTGGATCATCTAGAGAACGGACACTCTTCTGGCGTCGATGTAAACTCCGAATCTAAGAACACTGAGATATCAGTTGATATCGGCGATCGAACAGTAAGCTCACATCTAATGTTTCGATCCAAATCTGTTTCAACTGGTTGATATTGATCTGATTTGAGGTTTATCTTGTGCAGTTTGTGATTGGTGGAAATCATGAAAGGAACAATTTTTCCATTGAGGTTCAGATTCATGACAAGAAAAGTAACAACCGGTGGGAGAATGTTATCTAGATTCTTATAAATTTTGTTACAAGAATTCTACTTCAATGTCAGATGAAATCTTACAGATTTGAGAATCATTTGATGTTGTAGGTTTAGTCCTATTGTGCTTGGGACAGGTCCTAAGCCGAGCAAAAGTTACTCCGCTTTTGTTCTTAAACAAGGTCGGATTTTGGTTATTAAGAAAGGTTCACCTTTTAATGACTCCATCTGGTTCCTTGAGGTTAGTAATCTGTTGCATCAATTTAGGATGTTTTTAAAGTATCGTCCTTGGAGTTTCTCATGTGTTGGAACATTAATAGGTAGATAGTCCTTATGTGCGGGAACAGAGGAAATTACTAGGGAAAGAAGTTGTTGCTTGGAGTAAAGGCGTAAAAGGCAATGCCGAGAAACCAATTGTTATAAGCGGTCCATCTGGAGTTGGAAAAGGAACGCTAATATCGATGCTTATGAAGGAGTTTCCTTCAATGTTTGGCTTCTCAGTGAGCCACACAACTCGATCTCCGAGGTCTATGGAGAGAAACGGTGTTCATTATCACTTTGCTGATAAGAGTGTCATGGAGAAAGAAATTAAAGATGGAAAGTTTCTTGAGTTTGCTTCTGTTCATGGCAATCTTTACGGAACCAGCATTGAGTCCGTTGAGGTGGTAACAGATTCAGGAAAGGTAAATAACAATGCTTTGGATTGATAGATGATGCTTTCTGTGCATTTGATCCTTAAACGACGAGTTTCTCTTTTGTTCTACGTAGAGATGTATTCTTGACATTGATGTTCAAGGAGCAAGGTCTGTGAGAGCGAGTTCTCTTGATGCCATATTCATATTCGTGTGTCCTCCTTCAATGAAAGAGCTTGAAAATCGGCTCCGTGCTCGGTACAAACCAGGCTTTTACATTCTTGAGATATCTTTCATTATAATTTCCAGCGAGGGCATTTTGAATTCAACTTCTAAATAAACAGAGGAACCGAGACAGAGGAGCAAATTCAAAAGCGGCTTAGAAATGCTGAGGCAGAGATCAAAGAAGGACAATCCTCGGGTATATTCGGTCTTATTCTGTATAATGACAACCTTGAAGAATGCTACAAGAAGCTCAAGGTGAACCGAATTTTTGTTAATTGCTCAAAATGTTGTCAAGTTCTGAATGCATAACCATACCGGCTCTGTTTCCAGACACTCTTGGGGTTAGACGGAGTCGCTCCTGTCAATGGTGTAGTAGAAAGTGAGAAACTAAACAGTATTATGCATACATTTCTTTTCCATGCCAAGTGAATTTGAAACTGATTGCTTTCGTAATTGTTTGATTCTGCAGTACAAGGGATCGATCTTCCCAACGAGCACAGGGTATCAAAAATGGAAGAAAAGATCATTGTTCAAGAAGCAGGAGAGGCACAACGGAACAAGTATGCAGCTACGAACTAATGTTCTTTATGTTTCTGATAATCTCTCTGTGCTTGTAAAATTTATAGATTGGCTTGTGGTAAATGCAGATTCGTATTGGATTTATCATCACTGAATGGAGGAGCACCGGGAAGAACAAGGGGAATCCTTGTGGACGCCATTGGTTTATAAGCTGGCAAAAGAGAGCGCCTTCTTTCATTACAAGGCTTAACGGAAAACCTGTTCTTTCATTCATTTCATAGCCGTTTCTCCTTCGATTTTAAAATATCAAAGTAGAGTGACTTATATTCAAAGTGTTAGGATACTGATGATGATGATATTGATTTTGTTCGTTGTAATTTTGAAAGAGTTACTACATTGAAAGTGATAGTTAAAGTGTTTAGGGATGTTCATTTTGTTAGTTGTAAATTCGATTGACAAAACTCAAAGTTGAGATTCAACAGGATTCAAATTCAGAAAAAAGCAAAACCTGAATTGTGTAGAAAAGATTGACCACAGGAAACAATGTTCAGTGATGTTACAAGATTCAAGATTTCAAAGAGCTTGATCATTATATTTTATTGGGAGGAAAATGGACAGCAGTTAGTGTCAGTTAACAGTTGAAATTTTAAAAAGCAGCCAAAGAAATTGAAAAGAGCTTCCAAAGCAGAAAGACAAAAGAGAGAGACAGCCAAAGAACAAGTTGGGACTTTGGAACAGAATCTCCATGTGTCATGTCCTTTCATCTTTGAAAGAAAAGCTCTCTACACCTCTCATATAGTCATATATAGCAACCTTTTGCATCTTCGGCTCAGGATCAACACTTGTGGTCCCAAAGTCGTTTATATTGTAGTGGAAGGAACGTTCGTGTAAGCCTACTAGTGGTTCTGGTCCCCATCCCAGTCCTGCTCCGCCATTACAGACACTTGTACAAAAGACTTGGTCTGTGCCAAAACAAGCGCGTGGCGTTACGCGCAGGAAGAGTAACTAACAAAGCCTCCTTCTTTTCCAGAGGGCCTTAAGCCTCATTGAACTCTTACAGAGCTTGATTCACTGTATTATCATGGTGCTAATAAGTAACCATCATTCTTTAATCACTCCATACATGACCTATGAAAGGCTTTTATGCCCCAGAAAAGATGCTTTGAACAGAATCAGGCAAAAGACACTTCTTTTAACAGAATCAAGGATCAAAGCTAACATCTTCATAAGAATGAAACAAGAATCATCAGCCTTCACTACAAATACAATTGTTGTGTTAAATCAGATCCTCAAACTATACAATACTTCAATCTCTTAGAGACTCATACAACGATTGACCAGACTCCGATGAGTTAGTCGGCGATGATCTTGCACAAACAAAAGGCGGTGGTGGTGGATCAACAGACAATGTACCTTCCAAAACCTTCACCACTTCCCCCATTGATGGTCTTAACCGTTCATCCGCCTGAACACACCAGAACAAGATTCTTAAAACCCGCTCAAGCTCCTCTACATCGAAACCTTCTTTTAATCTTTTGTCCACAACGGTTTCTTTCCTCCCTTCAATCCATTCTCTATACACCCATTCACTCACTACCCCTTCCGCCTCGTACCTACCAGTTATCAGAGTTAAAACCATCTTTCCAAAATCGTCAACGTCTTTATCTGCAGCACATGAACTGAATCCATATTCAGTTAACTTAGCTTCCAAATCCTCACCGAGCAGAATATTTCCGCAGTTCAAGTTCCCATGACTGACAAATTCTCTGCATTCTGTGTGGAGATAAAAGAGAGCTTTAGCCACGCTTAAGCATGTTTCGGTTCTTTTCCTCCATGTTAGTTTCTTGCTCTGTAAAGGGTCAACAATGTGGTCAAGTATAGACCCATTCCTAGCGTATTCGTAGACCAGAAACCTCCTGCCTCGCTCGCAGCAATAACCTTCAAGCTTTGCTAAGTTCTTGTGATGCATTGTTCCTACCTTTGATGCAGAGCTTCGAAATTTCCTTTCTTCTGTTAATGTCGCTTCCATTTCTTTTACAGCAACAAGTTCATTCTCTGGCATAACCCCCTTGAATACCCTCGGTCCTATGTTACATTCAAAGTTGTTGGTCATCGCCTTAATCTCATCTACAGAGAATATACTCAAACCTTTCGGATTCGTCGCCTTGGAGAACCGATCAGCTTTCTTCTTAGCTTGCTTACTCTTCCTCCGATAGATGTACACAACGATACCGAGCTGAAAAGCAAGAAACAGAACAAGTGTAGTGGAAGTTGCGCCGACAAGACAAGGAAGACAGACACTGTGAGACTTTGTTACAGTCACTGACCCTTTTGAAACATTTGGATCAACAGCCATTGGGTCTGAACATGTTTTAACATACGATATCGAACTCAGAGACGGATCAGAGTAACCACTGATGTATCGGGTCAGCTTGACGAGACATTGAGGATTCCCATCATTCCTGTAAGTGACTGCGGTACAAGCAGGGTCCTCTAAACACATCTTCTTGCATCTCTGAGAGCTAATCCGAGACATAACCGAATCATTAGCCGGATATATCCCATACAACTCCAAGTTCTTGAATGTCACCATGTTGAAACCAGATTTGCAGCCTAGCTTCTGATAAGGCGCCAAGCACTTGGGGTTCGAGACCGATGCAAAGGTATCATAAGGGCAGTTGCATTCGGAGTATCCGAAGCTGTTAAAGGAACAAACTTGCGATCCACAGGTCGCGAAAACCCGGCATTGATTCTCAACAGCTTGCCAAACCGGTTTCCAAATCCCTGAATCTTCGTTCCAAGAGTACATTCTCAGATTACCATCCCGGTCGAGCCTGAGAAACCGGAACTTGACAGTGTCGTTGTGATCTTCCCCGAAAACGGACCAAACAGGTCTCATCAGATGTTGTTGATCGACAAGAAGCAGAGCTCCCTCTGAAGTAAGAACAGCCCCAATCTTCCCCTTCTTCGTCGTGACGGCTTCGTTTCCGCTTGACCAAAAAGTAATGTTACTCTCCCATCTCAGCTCTAACTTCCCCGAATCCTCCATGTGAAGAGTGTAGTAACTAGACCTAGAACTGTCACTAGCAGCTCTAAGCATCTCAAAAGCTGATAGCTTTTGGTTTGGAAGCAAAGTATCAGCAGGAGTATCAAAGCTTTGCCAAACAATCTCCTCTCTATCTCTCAACAACACAAGATTACCATCGTCACGGAGCAGAGCAGAGGATACAGAGAACCGGCTCGTCTTGCTGTTCCAAACCGGAACACCCAAAGAGGAATCAAACAAAACCAATTCTCCATTACGAGTGAGCTCGAAGTAAGAGCTGTTGTCAGTAACGGAAACAACTGCTCCAGCAACCCAGACGACCTTCCGTTGATCAGAAGGGATGGATTCGGAGTTAAACCGGATACCGATGCTAAACCGGTTAGGTAAATCTGGGGGATTGAAAAACCCTAGCGCAAAATCACCATTGTTGGACACCCACAAGCTGTTTTCACCAACCACGAGCCTAGAACCCAGCTGAATCTCTGAAACCACGAATTGGAACGACCAGAACACTAAAGAGAGAGACAGTAACAGAGCTCGAAGAAGCATCTTTGTGTCTGATTTAGAGATCCAGCAACAACAAAATACAAGGACAGAGACTCTGGTTTCATCTCAACATCATTCCAAAATCCAAACCTGGAAAATCCAAAATTGAAAAAGGGGAAGAAAAATACATTTCAATAAGACCTTAAAAAATATAAATCTTCAAGGTTTGGCACTTGAAGGAGCTTAAGTTCTGACCTTGGACCCACAGTAGTATCAAATCACCAAGTATCAAAAACTTGACCAAAGCAATAAATAGTGTTGTTGACAAAAAAAATTTGATTTTTATCCCCAGAAAAAGCTAACTGAACTTTCGAAGAAGAAAATGTGGAGGGTATTACTGTAAAGATTGACCAAAAAACAGAGACTTTAAGCTTCAAAATGGGACCCAAGATTTGTAGGTTTAAAAAAACTCTGAGTGGATTACTAGAAGAATATCAGAGAACTAAACTGTGAATATGAAGAGGAAGACAGTGAAGACGCACTAACCAGTAGGTAGAGGAAGAAGCAGACAGAGATTGAAAGAGACGTCTTTTCCTGAGGATCTTTCACAGAGGAAAAACGAGATTGGAAATGCTGAAGAAGATATGAGAAATATCTAAAGAAGTTTAGGGAGATTTACAAGAAGGTGAATCTGATATGAGTTTTGCTTCTCTTCTCTTGGCTAGTATGAAAGAGGAAGGTGATGGTAATGGATACAACAAAAGAAAACATTTTTTTAAAGGCTTTAATTGAATTTTGTCTTCTTCCGTTACGAGTTGTCTTTCAAAGAAGTGGCAACAAAAGAGTGTAATTACTAATTATCTACGGATTATGTCCTCAATCTAAGATCATTTTGGGGCACATGAGGATTTACGTACAAATCTCCAATTAATATTTTCATATATTTACTGAAGTCCAGAAATACTAATCAACAATTTTAATTAATTGTAATTTTAAAATATATGTACCATTTATGATTTGTGATTTAATCATTTCATGTGACTAGTGATATTTTTTCCCTAGCGATCAATGACTTGTGGTTTTTTTCTGTCACAACTAATGAGTTTATATTGATTAGAGAACACTTGTGGATTAATTAGGGCTAAAAACAGTCAAATAATTAGCATACACACATTCGTTGACAAGGAAAAAGGGCATATATAATCAATTTGTTGGTCGACTTTCTCTGTGAAATGAAGTAATCGACAAGTTTAGTTTTCAGTTTCTTTGTTAATTCACACTTTTAAAGTAGTAAATTTTTAGCAAAACAAACAGCTAACTATAGTCTGTAAGTCTCCAGTCTCCATAATAAGAAATTTTAGCAGTGGTCCCTCGTCGTCATTGTAGGTCTCCAAATCTCTAATTACTATTTAGATGATGATAATAAAGCACCTAAAACCAATAATCACAGGTTACAAAAAAAAAGAAAAAAAAATTCAACAGCTCTACTAATGATTTAGACCAAGAAACCAATATATTTTTTTTTTTGACGGTGATTCCCATAGGATCCCAGTCCAACGATGTACGGAAATAGTGAATGAATTTAACTTCTTAGTAATATTTTTTATTCTGACCCAAAATTTTTTATTTAATATTTTATATAATCATAACATATTTCAAGTTTTTTCAATAATTCGTCTTTTCTCATTCTTTCAGCCTTGAGGGATTTTCCATTAATTTTTTTATATATTTGCTTTCCAAATTATCATCGACAATCTAAAATCGGCGAATGTAAAAGGAGGAAAATGAAGATTTGAGTGTTTGTGGGTCAAATTTAAAATAAGTAATTTAATAATTAGAGGGTCAGCTTTTGACAGGCAGGGTTTGACGAGT